CCATCAACACCACACTGTTCAATGCCAGCTCTGTCTCTACTCAATCATGTGCCCTAAAACAAAGTGCCATCCTCTCCTGGCATCTGCCACCCGTCTCCCTCCTGCTTCCTCCTCATCACATGGGAGGAGAGCAAAAGAAAGAGAGTGCATCATGGGGCCGAATGCATTCATTCAGCTGGAAGTACAACTCACACAGTGTGTGACCACCATGGTGGATGTTGCACTGCTGACTCTGTCACATGCCGTAGCACCATAGAAATCCCAATCCACTGACAGAGAACTCCTGAGGCAGGGAGTCACCCACTGTAAGTAGATCAATGTAAGGCTTAAGTATCAAATCCCTTATAGAACTAAGAATTGTACAATAAGCCAACGATGAATAATGAACAAAAAATACAGCTCTAGCTGAGGCTCAGGAGATTTTATTCAGACTTTGGGGTGTGCAAGGTGGTCCAATGCTAAGACAAGGGATGGGAACTGGTTCCAGATGAGAACCAGTTCCAAATTGTCTGATCCGTCGGAACTGTATTCCTCCAAGCTTTTCGTGTTTCTCTGACAGATGTGCAGAGAGGAAGAAACGGTCCAAAGCGTGGCCTCATTTCACAAACAAAAAACAAAATCAGTGCTAGTTGCAATTGCTCTACAAATATAATTTCAAGTAAGGGTGGAAATATTAGCAACATGCTGAACATCTGTCTATCTTTCTTATGTTATAAGACCTTTAGCGCCACACAAACATGCTCAGCAGATTTATTTTCTTTGACTAAGAAAACCAAAAAGAAAATGAATGCTAGGGGGGAATCGAGAAAACCTGTGTGGACCTACTTCTTTCCATGCAGAACTGATCAGGAATCAATAGATGAAATAAATCAGACCTATAAGCAGAATCAATAATGCCATTGGTATCAATTTTATCAATTCCCATCCCTTGTGAAGACTTTCTTCTATCTGTCCTGAAGTGTATTTGGCAATTCAATCGAAGCCCACAACACCCAAGAGAGACTCATTCCAACCCGTTACTCTGACTACCTTGTGAGGCAGGCAAGTAAAAAAAAATGTGAGTCCCAACCTGGATGTTTGGAATACGCAATAAACAAATCTAACTTAACAGGCCTAATCAATATATCGATCAATTTAAGAAGAAATAAACTACTCATTAATTGAACTGCCCACAGCTCTTAGACCTTCTGAGGTACCACTGCAATACTGGGATCAATATGTTATTATGCATGCAGTCACACTGATAAAACAGTACTTGTATTTTTTTTTAGTCAATATGAAGTTTCAATCACATTAGGCAGCTGTTCCCATAAGACGTGGATTTGACTCTTTTCAATCTACTGCTGATTACTGGACAGCACTGAGTTGAAGGTATAATAATTTTCTTCTACTGAGAGCTCATCTAACCAATGGCCTGGCATTTATCCTAAGTGGTATGGCCTTATGCAAGCTGCAATTCATCAATGATATCCCCCAGTATGTCCTCAGATACCACAACTCTTTTATAAACCAGTCTGCACTTAGAAAAAGTAGAAATACTGGGATGTGGCTAGACGCAAGCAAATGAGTGTTTGCCCTCAAGGGGATGGATGTACCTTACCTCTACAAAGTGCCAGATTTAAACTAGCATTGAATGTTAGCAATTAGCTTGACACATAACCTTATGATCAGGCTATACACGTAACCAATGTGTAACTAAAACAGTATGTAAAATTGTAATAATGCTTGTACCTTCATCAGTACATCACGGTGCTAGGCTTCCAGATTCATGTAGAGGTTGTTAATAAGCAGATGTATCATTAAAACACACAGTATATGTGCATTACTGATCATTTCTAATGACAAAAGGTTGATTTTATTAACTTTACGTATCAAAGTACCTAAGTTATAATAATAATGTTGATGTTTCGTCATATGGTAATGTTGCTGAGTAGACCTCTCCATCGTGGACTGCCTGTGGATCGTTTCTTGGGATGCAGCAGATGTAGGTCGTGACAGACGACATGTTGCGCACTCCAAAGGGTGGAAGTAACATAGCACGCTCCGTTATCAAGAGATATGATAGGCTGCTTTGAGCCTAGGCATATTCGTTATCTGCTTTCATGGCTTTTTGCATTTAATGCATTTACATTAAACTATTAATACAATTTTTCTTATTGTTATTCATGAAGTTTCTACTGGCAATACACATTGCTATTGTGTTATTGCCCAGGTTCTAGATGTTCTTTCCCATCCTTTTCAGTCTTTATAAAACACAAAGTACACATCTATGAATCTGACAAAATATCATTTTGAGTGTGAATACAACATTGCCTTTTTGTAACTAGAGAGAGGAAAGAGTTAAGACAATACTTCTGTTTGTCTTTCGAAAGACCAAAATCAAATCCCTGTAAAACCTCAAGGCCAGACAGAAGCTCATATCCTTTCACAGTTTAATACCAGCAACAAAGTCACAGCAGGGTGTTCCTTTCTTCTCACTGTGAACTACACTGCTCTCTAAGACTGAACAATCCCTTAATATTTTCTTTTCATTCCTGCAGAGGTAAACCAATCCTGCTGCAAGATGAGAATATATTTCACATGGACACAGAGCTTTGATTATATTAAATAGTAACTTAGTGAATCTCTGTGTCAATGTCTCATCCAAATGATGAAGGAAAGAGCAAGGCAGGAGAAGGAGCCGCGCACATTTCTCATCCACTAACCTGAGACTGAAAGAGAAGAAAAAATACTGAAGCTTCTTTTCTGCTGGCTCAATGTGATGCCTACGGACTGGCGTGAGCCATGATTGGAATCATTTCTACCTATTATAGTAGAAAACCATTTCTAGTTGTTAATAAGAGCTGTGACCTTCATTGCACAGCACTCCCCACTCTCCCAAACTTTTTCTGTCTATCAATAAATGTTGCAATCAATGCCGAGAGGCGATGACATTTATATCAACTGGAAGAGGCGGGCAGCACTGCTAGAGTCATGTTTTTAGACTTTACCGGGGCTTTTAACACCATATGACCTGCCCAGGTCAGGAGTAAGCTGGGACATGCAGGTGGATGCTCCACTAGAGGCCTGGATCACCAGCTATCTCACAGGTCGGCCACAGTATGTGAGGCTGCAGAGCACCAGGTCGGACATAAGGTGGGTGGCCATCAAAATGTAAAACTCCTACCCATTCTGCAGGAAGGACAGCTGAAATACTAAGAACAACAATATCAATGTCATGTGAAATATTACTGTTTATTCCTTCTCAATATCATTGCCAATACTACTATTCTTTCACTTGGTATATCAGGCACTTCTGTTAGCATGTACTCTTTATATTTATTACTCGATTGTTTTTATTCTTATGTTACTGTACGTTTGAGCAAAGGTCTGACACAAGACTTTCCTTCAGGTTTAAAGTATCTTATCTGATCGCAATATCTTTCAATCACCTTTCCAACAATCAGCCGTGAACACACACACATGTGCGTTACCACACACACGCGTTAACATGCTTTCACTCTCACACATATACGCGAAACATTTAATCCCACATGAGATCAAAAGCTCAGCACCCCCGATGCCGGGCCGAGGCTGGATCAGTCTGTTCACACTGTGATTTCGTTGTGGGATGGGGCAGCACATGGGCCCGTGACAAGGCAGAGAGAGGAGTCAGTCCATTATGACAGCAGAGGCCAAGCGGGACAGACAGGAGCTCTCATCAGCTCCGGCCAGTGAAGTCCAGCAGTCACAGTCTCACCTGCTGCCCACAAGCCCTTGAGGTGACTCATCGTGGAGGAGTGAATGACTGGCAACTTATCCCGCTGAAGGTGACTCCAGAAACCATGCTGCTGTTTTATCCCGTCGCTATGGGAGGTTTTGCATCTAGCCTTAGCTGGACAAATACATACCTTTGCTAAATGTCTTGCTATACATGCACACTTCCTTTATGAGAAATGTGATTAACTATGGTTACTACGCATGTTATAAAATCCTCAAAAGTAAGGCTTAAGTGTTTAAAAACAATGCCAGGTGTTTATGTAACGTATATTATGATTCATAAGCCGCTTTTTTCCCATTCCTAGTTAGAATTGGCATCCTACCAAAACCCGGGGTATGTCCCTCAGACGACAGGCAAGACCAAACATAAAGACCAGATGGCACCTGCAGCCAAGCTGTGACGTGGTGTGAGCCAGCTGTGGATGCTTCACCAGCACCACTTCAAAATATGGCAGGCACTCCAAAAATGAAGCTTTAAACAGTGGGATGCATTTGCAGGCACCCAGCTTTGTAGCACCCAATGCCTCTGGCATGCATTACAGAAACAGTGCTGTCCACTAGTCCTGAAAAAAAGAAAGTGTTCAGTTCGGCCAAGAGCATGAAATGAAATGAAAAATTAGACTCATACTAAGAAGCAGTGGTTCACAGGGTCATGGAGGAGCTTCCAGTAGGTCCCTTTATTGCCCAAGTTTGATTCCACTGAGCTGCTCCACTTGATCATGGCAGTGAGAGGGTGACACTGGGACAACTGTTTTTAATCAGAGGTTTCATTCTCAACAGGGATGCAGAGTAAACATTTATCCAGATGCTCAGATAAGCCCCAAGGAAGACAGTACTTACAACAGGGGTCCTTGTAGTCCAAAGGGGAGCAGAACACCCAGCTACAGCAGAAGATCAAGTGCAGCACGCTCTGTAATGTCACCTCTCTCTGAGGCTGGCTATCTGGCGAGCGAGGACCTTGCAAGGACCGACTTGCAAGTCGCTTGAATGAAACCACCAATAACAACGTTCTCCTGACTTTTTACTTTGCATCTAACTCCTCTGTAGTACATGTGAATACGCAGACATAGCGAGCACGTTGATGCTGGCTGCACGTACGTGAACAAAGAGCGTCGTTTTTGTTTTTATCCAAACATTTAGGTCCCCGCGTGCGCGAAAAAACACGTTCGCTGACTACTTTAAATACACAATAAGGACTACACCTCAACGTTAACGCGTACAGCAGCCGCGCAGTGCCTTACCAGAGAAGTACCAGTGTCCTCCTCCAACTCCAAATATCTCCACACAGATCCGATGCTGCCTCCGTCCGCTCGCTGCTCGGCTCTGCCTCCCGGACCCGTGGCGTGTCGTCCTGTCTGTGGCCCGCTACGTCCGTCCTCCTTCCCTCCGCGCGGCGTTAATGTCATGCGTTTTCCCAGTAAACTGTCCTCGTAATCTTCTCAAAAGTGGGATGTGAAGAGGGTCCGGGTTCCGCCTACCGCGCACGCAATCCAATGACTGTTGTGTGTACGTTGCGAAGCCAGACCCAAGCCAGCCGGCCAGCTAGCGCGCGCGGGGAGACGCGAGAGCCCCCCCACCCCCCTATTTGGCACGCGCCCTTTTTTTTTAAATGGTTTAGAAATGAATGAACCGCCACTAGATTGAT